TAATTCAAATTGATTTTACAAGAAACAGCTAGCCCATTTACTCCTCTGAACTGCAGTACAGTATCTGCAGAGCTCCATGACGTTTAGTCAGTAAATGTTCATCCTTAATAACATTACTGCCTCAATTTGCACACGTACAATATGGACTCACATCAATTGTATGTTAACCCAGCTTTAACAGTACAGGGTGCCTCCCAACTACCTGTAAGTAAAGAAATTAGCGCACCACAAAAAACAGGAAATACAGGACTAGAAAAGGAGGAAAGTAATAAAATAGGAATATAAATAAGATTGTAGATAGTGTGAGATATGAATAATTCTCTGTTTTAATGGGTGACCCCTATGTATCACTTTTGGATTAGATTTTTTAAAAGCTTAGTTGCATCTTAATCCTGTCAGCTGCAGTAAATTGGTTCAAGGACATTTCTCTGTGATCTTATATCTTGGTCTCTAAATAAAAATTTGCCTCACTTTTGAGAAAATGTGGCTATGCTCTAGTATCTAAGACTATATGGAGAGTTTTTCTGGAGCAGATCAATGATCTGTCCAAGTCAACAATTTGTTTCTGACAATAGCCACCTAAACGGCTCTGGAAAAAAAAATCTATAAGCAGATGCTTCTTTCTAAACTTATACAGTACGGCACCTTTCTTCTATCTTGTAGTTTTACCAGAAAGGTTGGCTTGCAAATCTCATCATGCCCATCCAGCATGACTTGAACAAAGTAGATGTAAATGGCAACAATATTATTTATTTATTTTATCAGTTTACAGACAGCTTCTCATAGCCAAATATATCTCAAAGCAGTTTATAATATAAATCTGAAAATTCAGAGCATTCATTAAAGAGAAAAATATTGTAATATATATAAATCACCAATGAACATAAAGGTTTTCTCGAAGGCTTTCACGGCTGGGATCTGATGGTTGTTGTGGGTTTTTCGGGCTCTTTGGCCGTGTTCTGAAGGTTGTTTGTCTTGACGTTTCGCCAGTCTCTGTCCTCTGGTCAGAGTTCCTACTCCAGTCCTCTGAAGATGCCGGCCACAGAGACTGGCGAAGCATCAAGAAAAACAATCTTCAGAACATGGCCAAAGAGGCCCAAAAAACCCACAGCAACCAACAAACATAAAGGGTTTTTTTAATATTCAAAAGTTCAACAATTCAAAAACTAGGCTGTACAATATATCACTAATAATCAGGAGAGAAATAGGGAAGAGTTACGTTTTTAACAAGCACCATGAAGCAACAATAGGAGCTTCACTGGTATAAGAAGGAAGACTGTGATGTTCCACCCAGTGTTCCCTGTTTGTTTCCCCGAAACCAAGGTTCACTCTGGCAATGTGTTCTCTTTCATCCGCTGCCACCAGTGGATATCCCTTATCCACACTTGAATCAGACACTTGCTGCCAATCGAACTTGTTTATTTAGATTGTATTTGAATCACAGATGTTCCTTTTAATCATTGTATAGAATCACTCATTAAACTTCTTATATTTGGTTACACGTTCAATTCTTCATTTGTTTTATTGCTTTATTCACTTTAGCCAATTTATTAATAATATCAGTTCTCTCTAGTTCTCTATCTATCTTGACTATTCAATTTATCTCCTCCACACTTTCATTCTCTCTTTCACCTTTTCTCTAACTCGTTCTCTCTCTCTAACAGCCTAACTGACTCCGCCCCTCCTGCCCTCTCATAGGCTCCTGCACTTGAGCTTCAGCTATGATTGACAGGAATGACATGGGCATTCTGTCACATACCTCTCCCCTAGGAAAAGTTTGTTTCATGGGGGAAACCTTATAATTTACCCTCACGAACAATGCAAGAAGCAATAAATAATTTATTTCAAATGTGTTCCCAATACTATTACTCAATATATATTCCTTTATACAGTATCTATGCATACTTGTTATTATTGATTACTATTATTTTGCGCAAATTAAACTTATTACTGTAAACATTTAAATTACATTTATCAAAATTTGCATTACTTACAATTACATTGATACAAATCCTATTACTGTTACATTTATCACTGTTTACCATTAATTCACTACGAGATTATATTTTATTTTTAATTGCACCTCATACTTACGTATAAACCGAACAGTTTCTATATCATTTCATTTTACATTTTTTTCCTCCATCCGTCAGTCTTCTGGTCTCTGAGATAACGCGTCATTCTGTGTTCCCTTCACATTCCGAATCTCAAAATCAAAGTCCTGCAGAAGTAGGGCCCATCTCATCAGCTTGTTATTTGCCCTTATAGTTCTCAGCCACAGAAGTGAGGAATGATCTTCCCCATATGTATGGCCTGAGATTCTACAATGACCATATGAAGGCTAGACACTCCCGTTCCATCGTGGACAAATGCCTCTCACAAGCCTGCAGTTTCTTACTGAGATAGGTTACCGGATGATGATTTCCGTCGTCATCTGTTTGGCTCAGCACGGCTCCCAGCCCGGGCCGGTAGTCAGTGCTGTCTTCCATCTGGCCAAAGGCTTCCTCACAGTCGGCCGTCCAGAGGATTCTATGCCCTACACCTTTGGCTACACCAGGCTTGTTAGAAAAGACATGCTTATATTTTTGCACTACAGCTCTGGTTTCTTCTTGTTGCTTGGGTGCTAGAGTAAGGCTAATTTGGACTTCCTCAGTGTTATACTGTGGTACACCCTTTCCTTCCCAATACCATAATTTAGGTTTTTTCCTGGGCACCTCTTTAATGGCATATAAGACAAAATCAAAAATTCCTTTCCTATAATAAGGTTGAATCATATTTACATGCACCACTCTTCTGCCTTCTTCTCCCTCCTCCTGAATTACATAATTCACATCACTCATTTTAGAGGCTACTCTAAATGGACCTGCCCAATATAATTGGAGTTTATTACCTTTAATAGGTTTCAACATTAGCACTTCATCTCCAGGACTGAATGTTCTTTCCCTGGCCCTCTTATCATACCAGTGCTTTTGCTTTCCTTTTGCTTTCCACTCAAGAGACTGCTGCAAGGAGTTCATCAGTGTATCTATATACTGGATTACTGACTCAGGATCCTCCTCCCTGTTTCTCCCAGCTTTGCCGGAGTAGATCTAGGGATCCCCGGGTTTTCCTTCCAAATAATAGTTTGAAAGGACTAAATTCTGTACTTTCCTGGGGTACAGATCTATAAGCATACATTAAGGGTTGCAATTTATGATCCCAGTCATTTGAATTTTCGGCAGTATAAGCTCGAATCATACGCATTAGGGTCCCATTAAATTTCTCACCCAATCCATTTATCTGGGGATGATAAGGTGATGATGTGATGTGAGTGATTCCACAGACTTGCCACAACCTTTTCATTGATTTGAATGTAAATGAGGTCCCCAAATCTGTAACTATCTCAGAAGCGAAGCCCTTGCGACACATATAATTTAATAATGCATCTGCCACTGTCTCTGTTTCAATATTTTGCAAAGGAAATATTAAATATTATTTGGATAAACTGGTTTATTCTGCAGAGAGATATAGTCAAGCCTCAGTTTAAAATACTTTTTTCCTGTCTGAGTTCCTGAGTTACTCTGTAGCTCTCCTTCGGCAGCCAAGGATTGCTACTCTTTTTTTTTTGGCACCCAGCCAAGCTGTTCTTTGATCTGAGGCACTCTATCTGTTTGCCTCCAGACGCAAAACTATTTCTGATTATTTTTATTTTTTTCTGTTTTTCAAGCCGCTGCTTGTTCCAGTCACCTTAGATATGGTTCTGACCCTGACTTCTGCTTTTGTCCTCTCAGCACTCTCTTCTTAGAGCCTAGGATCCAAAGGTAGCCCACTGGTCTTTCAATTCTAATCTTGAGGTAACCTCAAACGAATTATTCCCTCAGAGTCTTCTCCTATTTTAGTCTCTCCCAAGATCTGCGTTCTGGAGCCACACTACTAAGCTTTTCACCAAAAGCTCTAATGAGTCACCAACTCCTTCATGACAGACCTCTCTCTCTAATAGGTACCTTAGACTAAGAAAAATTCCCTTTTACTTCGGCTTACTGGACTCTATTCACATCCCACTGCTGATCACTATGTGACGTTCCACCCTGTTTGTTTCCCCCAAACCAAGGTTCACTCTGCCACCTTGAATTGGAATGTATTCTGCCACCTTGGATTAACAGCTGTTGAATGTTAGAAAACATTGATTCTCAGCTTTCAGGTTGTGTGACTTCAAGTTGCCTAGCAACTGAGAAAAGTGTCCTGCCAAACCCTTCATTCCACAAAACTCCTTTGCTTCCCCAGACCCTTAGCTTTCCACAGGCGACAGTTCTAGAGATGATGGCACTTTTTTTAAAAAGTCTGATATATCGATAGACAAGAATTTTGGTGACTGTGATCCTCCAGGACCACAATCCTAGGATTGGTTCATATTATGTGGTAAAAGAAAGGTGTTTACATAGTAGGATAGCTTGTAGCTCATTGTAAAATGAAAGGGAATCCCACTGACTACCTACTACAGGGTAGTAGCTCGGTGGCAAGAGAAGGCCACACAACCTGTTTCCCTATCCTAACATGGTTCTCAAAACTGCCTCAATGCAGTGGCTTAAATGTCCACCCAGGCAGAAGCTTCTTTGTTCACTTCATTGGTGGAAATTACTACCCACAAGGGTTCATTGTCAAATTATCAAAATAGTTCTGAATACAGTATAGCAGTTTGAACCTTGGTTACAGGCAACAAAGACACAAGGAAGTATACTAATAGAACCTAATCTATGAGACGAGTATATCTATCTTATATTTTTATAATTTTAAAAAGGTAGTAATTTTTGTCATTGTCCAATTACTGCCCATACTCTTTTATCAAGAATTGCCGTTTCTTTACAATATATAAGCATTTATAATTACAGTAGCAAAACAAACTATCATTTTTGTTACGTTCTACAGAGTTAATTGTTGAAACACACTTCTAAAAACAAGACTTAAAACATTATAGTCAAATTGCTAATTGCTAACTTGAAATTACATTATTTCTATTCTAGGAGCAAAGAAGAAAAGTGCCTGTCCAGGTCTCGGACTGTTCTATACGCTGTTGTCTGCCTTTCTCTTTTCCGTGGCTTCTTTATTGCTGAAGAAAATTGAAGATGTACACTCGGTGGAAGTCAGTGCCTTTAGATGTGTTTTCCAAATGGCACTTGTTCTTCCTGGTTTAATATACTACAAGTAAGTATTATGTCCTCTGCACATGGAAATCAAAGGGAAAGTGCTGTTCCATTATAAACATAATTATAATATAAACAAACATAATCAGATTGGCTCAAATAAATAGTACAGATTTTTAAAAATGCCCCTTAAAACTTAAGCAGTTGAAGAACATTACTATGGGATTTCTGCTTTTCTCAGCATAACTGCTTGATACTTACGGTATTTTAACCTGGTATGGAATGTAGGGCACATTGTTAGAAAATTGAAGCTGATATTGATGGTGGCAAACTCTGGTGATCTATCAATTTGCCAGTGGATGTCTATAAAATGTTGGTGTTGAAGTGTAATTCAAAATGTAGCATAAATAGGTCAGAGGAGAAAACTGAACTATTGACTAGATCACTGGTTCTTAACCTTGGGTTACTCAGGAGTTTTGGACTGCAACTCCCAGAAGCCTTCATCAACAACTGTGCTGACTGGGGTTTCTGGGAGCTGCAGTTCAAAAGCATCTGAGTAACAAAGGTTAAGAACCACTGGACTAGATCATCTTTTTTCCTATCTCCTTAAATTGCTTTTCTGCAATGTTTTTGCTCCTGGTAGTGCTCCTTGATCAGAAGGAATGGTTGCAGAGAAGTGACTATGTAGGAAGAAGGGAGAAATGAAAAGTGGATGAGGTTCCCAGCTATGAACATCTGAAGTTCATAGGGCAAAACAGCCTGTGGAATAGTTATACTGTTTAACATACAATTGGTTCATCTATATTTATTTATTTAAAATATTTTTACCCCACCTTTCTCCTTAAAAAGGACCCAAAGTGGCTTATATCATTAAAAGACAATGTTTAAAAGCTTAAAACAGTAAATATAAAAATATTTTAAAAGCAAACAAACAAATATTATATTAAAACTGGGAAATAAAATATGCACAGCAAACTGAGATGAGCCTACTCAGAGATAACAGTGAAATTTGTTCCCATGTAAGCATACCTATCAACATAACCTCATTCAGCTCTATGTTCCCACTGCTGGTGCTGCAGAAGATGAATTGAATTATTTTACGCAAGTATCCAAGAGGAAATTGAACACACACCAGAACAAGACTGATGCTTATAAACATAGGTGACTAGAATGCAAAAGTAGGGAATAAAGCAGAACCAAATGGTGTTAGAAAATTTGGCCTAGGGGGCAGAAATGAAGCAGGATAATGACTCATAGAGTTCTGCAAAACCAACAATCTGTTTATTGCAAATACATGCTTCAAGTAACCAGACATATGACTATACATGTGGACATCACCAGATTGCTAATATAGAAATCAAATAGATTATGTAATTGGAAGCAGGAGATGGAGAAGCTGCATTCTCTCTGCCAAACAAAGACCAGGAGCAGATTGTGGCACTGATCAAGGAACACTAAAAGAATCATAGTGATAAAATATAATTCAAACAACATTCCTGATGAATTTAAAGTTCACATAAGAAATAGATTTGCATTATTAAAGTCAATTGACCGTGAACCAGAAGAACTGTGGATTCAACTCAAACATATTTTTAGAGAAGAATGCAAAATTACAATTCCTGTAGTAAAAAGATAAGAAAAAGATGTATGACAGAAGAAACACTTCAAATTGAAAAGGAAAGGCAAGAAACAAAATTAAAAGTTGACAGAATTGGGTTAGAAACCTGAATGCAGTAGAGACAAAGTGAACTATTATCATGGCCAATGCAAAGCCGTAGAGGAGAAGAACAAACTGAAATGATAGAAGTTAATTTTATTATGACTAATTGATTGACTAAATTGTATATATAATGTTAGTATTTTATAATTTTAATCTTTTGCAAGTTGAATGTTTGCTGTTGTTTTTGTTATTACTTCTTCAATAAAGTAGCTAACTACCGACCAGAAGATCCAAAAAATCAAAGGGAAATCTAAGCCTAGATTACAAATGTTGAATGACCAACAGGAAGCATACTATCTCACTAGGAGAAAATAAAAAGAAGATAGAAGCAGTATACTGAAGACAGACGTCTTTGAGGAGAAACCGTGTGATGAAGAACCTGCCATTCTAGAAAGTGAAGCGAATGCTGCTCTGAAAGCACTAGGAAGAAATGAATCACCAGGGTAGATGGGATGCCTACAGAACTATTTCACAGAAACTGAATCTGTTAAAATCCTAACAAGAATATGTCACAAATATGGGAAACAAAACAATGACTTACAGACTGGAAATGTTCACTATACATGAACTGCTGGATAGCTCAGTGGTTTAAATCTCTGGCTGCAGAGCTTGGGAGTTCAATTCCCCACTATGTCTCCTTGACAGAGGCAGATCCATGGGGCCCCTTCCAGCTCTACAGTTTTAAAATTATTGTTATTACTATTTATTTATTTACAAGATTTTTTTAGCTGCACCATTACCAATGGTCAATCTCTTTAAAAAGGAGATATGAAAACTAGACTGTAAAGAAAGCTGACAGGAAAAAAAATGATTCATTTTAAATATGGTGCTGGGGGAGAAGTTTGCAGATACCCTGGACTGCCAGTAAGATGAACAAATGAACCTTAGACTAATCACCTGTATCTCTGGAGGCAAAGCATACTTTGGGGACACCATGAGAGTCTCTGGGAAAGATAATAATGCTGAGAGAGTTTGAAGGCAGCAGGAAAGAGGAATACCCGCTACAAGATGGGTTGACTCCCTAAAAGAAGCCACAATCTCTCATTCATAGGGTTGCCATAAATTGGAGTCGACTGGACAGCACATAACAACACAATCATACTCAGTTTCGTGAATAAATTACTTGTCATTTGATTGTTTATTTATTTAAAATATTTTTACTCTGCCTTTCTCCTTAAAAAGGATCCAAGGTGGCTTACATTATTAGAAGTAACATTTAAAGCTAAAAACAGTAAGTATACACATACTAAAAAGGATCAAACAAATACTAGGTACATACACAGAGAAACAGTAAACAAAAGCAATACAAAAACACATTCAAAGCAGTAAGGCACAACAATCTATTTAAATACTCACTCAGGCAGCCAGTCATTAAGGGAAAGCTTGCCTGAAGAGAAAGGTCTTTGCTATAGTTGTCAGTCATTGTCTGATAGCATCCATAGGTTTTCAAGCTTCCAGATGTTCTTAGGGACAGGAATATTTGAGATCCCTGTGTTATTACTTCAGCTATTATGATAAATCTCACCTTTGTTTCCACCTCTTGTTTCTGATACCAAGCTTCTTAAATTCTTCTGCAGAAAGGCTGAATAATACATAGCTTGCAAGAGTCATGTGCATCCTAAGCTATCTTGTTTCTTCAATCCATACGCCTAGAAAACTGCTCTGCCATGATTTAAACTGAGAAACTTTTGTTTAAAGCAAATATTTTCCTTGGTTTAAAGTGGTTTGGAGTCTCTTGCTGTGGCACATTGGCAGAGGTATAATCTACTGTGGAATGCTCTGCTCCTGTGGTCTGTTCAGGATCCTGTATACACATGCAAGGCCTTCAGCAAAGTATGGGGCTGCCATTGAGATTGTATTGGGGATGGTGTGTCCCATGTCAGCAGATGAAGGCTCTACATGTGTGGGCAATCTTAACAAATCAAAAACAGGGAGAGTTGTGACTGCAAATAATGGCAGCCTTTTGTGCAGTCTTCATGGAGGGGCACTAGTTTGAAAAAAAAATGGAGCACAGAGCAAGCAACGGGGGGGGCTCTACATTATAATTTATCCCCCATTTTGTTTCCCTGTTGGGACAGTCAAGTTAAATCAATCACATGACGCTATAATAGAGAACCAGCCCAGCCCTTTTCAGTCTCCTTTTGTACCTTCTCGGATCACTAGCAGGAGTACTTTGGTGTATGTGATTGAGATCGCATTCTTTTAGTCTGTTTTCAGCCTATTTCATTCCAAAGCAGCAGTGAGAGATAAATCATAATGCAGATGCCCCCTTGGTCCCCTTCCTGGATACTGAAATTAAGCCATTCTTAATGTTGAGATATAAAAAGAGAAAGATGTTACATACAGAATGTAGAAACACACTTGGCTTTATAACAGTTCCTTCATGTTTCATTTCTGCTTTAATTCATGCTGGGTCAATTTACATGGGGAGCCAGTATGGTTAAGTAGACAGAGTGTTGGCCTAGAAGCCAGGAAACCTGGGTTCAAATTCCCGCATAGGCACAGAAACTTGAGGGGGGGGAGTATCAGTGGTAATGCTACCCCTCCTGAATATCTCACATATTTTGAAAACCAGAACATTTTGCACACAGAGGCACCAAAGCACATTTCATATCTTTGATGCTAAGCATACTTACTTGGAAGAAAATTCCATTCAAACTAGAATTCTGAAGAAAATGCATTTGGATAAGGGAGTAAAAGAGCGTGTATTATAATGGATGCTGAGAATGATGGGTGCTGAATACGAGCACAAGAACCTGCAAGAAAGAGTCCCAGTAGCATCATTCTGACAGCTATTAGAATAAACATAGTTTATGAAGTTATGTTCATATACAATTGTTGAATCTTCAGACCATTGAGTAAAAATGATGCCTTTCTCTCTCTCTCTCTTTCTGTCTCGCCATTTCATTTTAGAACAGGATTTTTGGGACCAAAAGCCAAAAGAATGTTTCTTTTCTTCCGAGGATTGCTTGGCTCTAGTGCAATGATTCTTCTTTACTATGCGTTCCAAGTGATGCCTCTTGCTGATGCTACAGTCATTACTTTCAGCAGTCCAGTTTTTACATCACTACTTGCTTGGATATTTCTCAAGGAGAAATACAGTCCTTGGGATCTTCTTTTCACCCTGTTTACAATCACTGGAGTGGTGCTTATCGCAAGACCACCTTTTTTATTTGGAACAGAAGTTACTGGAATTGAAGGAAGCTACACAGATCATCTTAAAGGGACAATAGCAGCTGTTACAAGTGCAATAGCCGCTGCTTCAACTATTGTTATACTACGAAAGGTGGGGAAATCAGTGCATTATTTTTTGTCTATTTGGTATTATGCAGTAATTGGACTAATAGTATGTATAATAGCACTTTTTGTAATAGATGCGTGGAGTTTACCCAACTGTGGTATAGATAGATTTCTCCTAATATTAATTGGAGTTTTGGGGCTGGGTGGTCAAATATTTCTTACTAAAGCATTGCAAATAGAGAAAGCAGGTCCTGTTGCTATAATGAGAACAATGGATGTGGTGTTTGCTTTTATTTTTCAAATTATTTTTCTTAATCATTTACCAACATGGTGGACAGTGGGAGGATCCCTTTGTGTTGTTGCCAGCAGCTCTGGCACAGTCATTCGGAAATGGCATCAAAACAAAAAAACTACAGAAACTGAAATATAACAAGCAAGCCATTTCTAACAGGGCAAAGCATTGAAATGTTTATTTTAAATGATACATATATTCTGTATTTTTTCCATCCTTATGTTTTCTGACATAAACAAGAGTTTCAGCATAACTCAACAATTTTGTATGTGTGTGTGTGTCTCAATTCACCAGCTTGTTTGGTGCACCCAAGGAAACTTTGGACTTGTCTCCTCCACCACCACCACAGCCCACCCAGTATAACAGTCTTGTTCTAAACTTAACAAGTCTTTCAAGCAGTGCTAAGTAAAATTTATTAAAGTTAAAGGTCAACACTGCCTGTTGAATATGACATGGAAATATCTATGTTAAAATATGCAAAAAACAACAACAACAACAACAACAACCCAAAACTTGGAAATATCTATGTTAAAATATGCAAAAACAACAACCCAAAACGGAATCCATTTGTCATGCATAAGGCCTTGGGTGCACTTAAAGAAGCCTTTTGGACTCCAGTCATAATTTCTCATGTCATGCTTCCATCTCATGCATTTCTCCATAAAGTTAGCTGCAGTGAGCCAGTTCATATATTATTTAAAAATGAGGCCAGAACAGAACAATGAACTTGCATATAATTTTTTTCTCCCCTGTTGTATTTTGACAATCGTAACGTAACACATAACTTCTGTTCTCTCTGCTACAGTAAGGTTTGCTAGCTCTTGAATCATTTTGTTTTCTCATCTTAACTTGGGGAGATGTGTGAAGTGGCTTTCCTATTAATAATGACATTAGCGTTCGTGTCATTTATCCGTGAACTTGTTCATGGAGATGGTACTCCTATGCTACCTGAGACAACTCGTGTTCTATGAGTGTATTGGGCACTTGTCCCTGCGAATGAGAACAACATTCAGTTCCATGTCTTATGTCCAATTCATGTTTTGCTCTGGTAAAATTTGCACCTATACCCAGTAAATGTGGATTGACTATACAAGATGTAAGGCGTTGGGATTGTGCAAATTTTACTGTTAATCCAACATTATTGTGCCATATGACCATATCAAATTTTAAAATATAAAGTAGGATGACACTGTGCATTTTTTACACATATTTGGTTTAGAAACATTCACTTCAACTATTTTCAAATGTTTCATTTTGGTATGATAGATCAATCAAATACAGGATTTCCTACTTCTTCTCAAAGCAGGTATGTTGTTTTCGAGTGAGAGCTAAAATTAAATTATTTATATTTTAAAAGTAATGTTTACTGATTTTGGCATAGTTGTTTTTCTATACAATAATGAAGCAAATTTTAATGCCTCTGTAATGGCATGTTTTTTGAGGGACGTGGTGGCGCTGCAGGTTAAACTGCAGAAGCCTCTGTGCTGCAAGGTCAGAAGAAGACCAGCAGTCATAAGATTGAATCCATGCGTCGGAGTGAGCTCCCATCGCTTGTCCCAGCTCCTGCCAACCTAGCAGTTCGAAAGCATGCAGGTGCAAGTAGATAAATAGGTACCACCTCGGTGGGAAGGTAATGGCGTTCCGTGTCTAGTCATGCTGGCCACGTGACCACAAAAGATTGTCTTTAGACAAACGCTGGCTCTGCGGCTTGGAAACAGGAATGAGCACTGCGCCCTAGAGTCGGACACGACTGGACAAATTGTCAAGGGGAACCTTTACCTTCAATGGCATATTTATACCTCTTTTTAAATCTTTGCCTGAGTAGACAGAACAAAAGCCATAATGGTCACTGCTATTTAGCTGCTTCAATTCAATCAAAGAAAAATAATGGGTAAAATCTAGTGATGTTCATCTGCCAAAACATATTTTTCATAGAACGGGTTTCTTCTCCCCCATCAAATAGATACTGAGATCTGCTCTAGAGAGTTTGAGAAATTCTTCAGAGTAGATTGAGAAGTGCCCAACGGGGGAGAACATGAAAGGCTAGGAGGGTTCCCACTTTCACGGTGGATATCAGACTACACAACTTTGAATAGAACCCAGTGCCACTTGAGTATGTGGCTACCACTTCTCGTGCAGCCACATTCAACACTATGCAGATATGTTTAATGTTTGCTTGTTTTTCTATACCGTGCACAGTGTAAGTTACACTGCTGGATTTCAATCACTGGATCTAAGTGAGAGCTTTGGAGAATTACAAACATCCATATTTAATTTACAAAGCCTAATAACAGTTCCCAGTGGTGTCATTGTTCCCAACACTGTATTAGTTGGATCTTATCTTAGAGCTGCAGAGCTGGAAGTGACCCTGTAGATCACTGAGTCTAGCTCCTGTCAAGGAGATATACAGAGTATGGAAATCCCAATCTCTCGCTCTTAAACCACTGAGCTGTCCAGCAGTTCATTCTGTGCAGTTGTTTTGAACCTCCCAGTTCTGGTGCTGTTGTTTCACTAAGGCTGCAGTCTTATAAACACTTATGTAGGAGAAAGCCACTGAGCACAGACATTTGCTTCTGAGTTCATAGTACTGTGCAATTGCAGTGCAACACTATGTAAGTTTACTTAGAAACAAGCCTTTGTGTGTCTAATGTGGGTTTTTTTAGTAAGTTCAGAATTTGTAGTCTTAGTATTTTAGAATATACTGGCCAAAATCCAATTGGTGTTCAAGCAGGGTTTGTTTTACTTGTCATAGCTAGCTGAGGAAGTGCTCAGGCATGATTCGATCATGTGCCTAGTTGCATATCTGATTGGATAATTAAGATGTCCTATAGTACCTCATTGATCAGTCATGGCAAGTTACATGACACTAATAGGATTCCAGCCATTCTGTTTTAAATATTAATTTTCAACTGCAAGAGCATTTTCCTGACATTTATTGATATAGCAAAAGATGCATTATTTTTGTTGTATACAGATAAAGTTTGTATAATATTTATTTCTTGAACTTTATTGTGATCATAAAACTCCCTAGTGGCTTCAGATGGGGTTTACTGTATTTCCATGAATCATTGCTTTAAGAAACTAATTTTTTCACCTATTTTTATTTAAAAGGATATGTTGATTCTTTTCCTTTTTTCTGCAGAGGTGTTTTTTGACTGGAGAGTGGGTGCATCTACAACCTTGATGGACATCGTAAAATTTACATAAGCACCTTTCTAACAGTACTTTATTTTTTTAAAAAAAACTGCTGTGTATTTGCATTGTTTTTCACTAAAGCAATATCGGTATGTATATTTCTTCTTTGTGAAACATGTAAACAGTTTTAAAACTGAAGAAAACCATTTTTTTCCTAAATTGCCTAAGAGCCTAAGAATATTTTTGACTTAAACTCATTGAGGAAGTTCAAATTAAAGATGTAAACTTATTGTTAGTGATTCGATGTCTTACAAGAAATAAGGTGGTTACAGTTTTCTTTCTTTGTAACCTTAACTTTGCCCCTGAATAACTCATACACTGAATATTTTGCACTGTTTCTTAGGTCTAGTGTGTGGGGTTTTTTTGTTTGTTTTATTCTTACTTGAAATATTACTCCACGTCCTCCTACAACAAATATCTGCCTGCCACAGAGAATAAGAAAGTTAGGTATCCACCTCAATACCAGGTCAGACAGTCTGTTCATCGAGTCCACTATTGCTAATTCAAAGAGGCAGTGGCTCTTCAGAGTCTTTGGATCAAATTACACATCAAGGGAAACGGATGTTTCTTGCTGTTACATTTCCTCCCTGGGCACACATCTTTCGAAGCTGTGTGGCTGATAAAATCAGACTTGTAGATGAAAACCTTATGTATCACTATATGGCCAATTACAAAATTAAGCTAGTTCAAAATGCAAATCAAGGTGCACTTGTATTAGGATAAATAAATATATTTTACGTCTGCAGAGAGCTCTGCTTCTAATGATGTGCTCTCTACATCACTTAGCTCTGGCTGGAATGCAGGACTTTCTGGCATCTGCTATCTGATCATCATATTAACTACAGAAATGAGGGAATAAGTCTTTTGCATGCAAAATATGTGCCAACACAAATGCCGCTGGTAATTTTTCTCTATTCTGGCACAGAAGTACTTACAGCTTGTCAAAATGTTCTATATTATATAAGGTTATATAGTTCAACAGGCTATTTCAAATAGCTCTTTCTCTAAATTTATTATGTAAGGAGAGGCAGACATTTCCTATTTAATAACTTTATATTTTTGTTCAAAATAAATTAGATCAGCATCCTAATGCATTGTAACTGGTAAAAAAATCTCTATTGAGATTAGCATTTTTAAACATCCGGTATATTCATTATTTTTAAGTAGAAAAAATGAATCATCATAAATTGTTTTTGTGTGAGTGCCTCTTCAAAATCACAAAGTTTTATCTGTTTCTAAAATCTTCCTAAATTTATTCGCCATGCTGAATTTAGCAACTAAACAACAAATTAGTTGCTACCAGTCTCAGGTGAATGAGCTTTCCAAGGATCAAATGACAAGTTATGGGGATTATGTGGCTATTGTGGAAATGTCTTCTCAGTAATATTTAGTTAAAGAAGAAGTATGGTGTAATTTCAGCCAGGTTCACACATAGAACTATATTGAATTCCAGTAAGCCAATATGCTGGCTCTTGTTATCAAGCTGCTCTTTCCTTTTAGGCAGAGCAGCTGAACTGTCCACAGACTTTTGGTCCATAGTCAGAAATCACTCGCAAATGACACTCTGGTTTATCTCTTTATCCACAAGCCACAGAAATAACTTATTCAGCTGCTGCAGTACTTAGAGGTTACACTAAACAAACTATAGAGTGGAGGTCCCTGGTTTTTGCAGAAGCCATTGGGTGGCAGAAGACAGCACACTGCTTGACCCAGATGAATTCAAGGTTATGCAGGAACCTTGAAGAGGTGTAATGTCTGATTGTAATCATGGTCATGCTCAAGGTTTTCCCTGTCCCCTGTAGATGGCACTAAATGGATGACAATGGACTAGGAAAAGATTCACTGCAGATATGTTATGCATCAGTGGGACTTGCTTACAGGTAAGTATGTCCACGGATGTGCAGCCCACCTGCCTCAAGGTGCCCTTAACTCTCTTGAGAGTAAGGCTGTGGTACATAGAACAGTGTTTCACAAATGTTTGGCTTTGGCAGCACGTAGTCTCCTACTGACAACTTATGTCTGCTCCTCCTGAATGAAGGATGTGTCAGAAACATGCCCATGTTACTAGCCCTTCAACTGACAGGCACACACCAGCACCATGCACTTTATTTATGAACTGTAAACAGGAGCAGGCCCTTGTAGCAGTCTATATAGAAGTTACCTCTTAAAATGATGGTCTTGTTCCGGGTTTCCAAGTTTGGATGGGGAAATTCAAGTTGGTTAGGGTCCATGGTCATTTTGACTTTGTACCTATAATATTCCCCCTACATGGCACTCCAACTGTTCTTCAGAGTTTGGTGTTTTAAAATGGTTATGATCCACAATAGCAGAGTTATCCAACCCAATCCATGTTTATTTGGAAGTAAGTATCACCATTTACTGGACCTACTGGCAAGTAAATGTGAATAATGGGCAGTTTTGCCTGATAATAAGTCTGGAAAAAATATTAAATTTTAACTAAAATTTGAACGTATTACTCTGTTTAAAACCAATGGAATCTGAATGTAGATTTCTCTTTGATGCTAGGCTAATTTTTTATTTAAATTTATAAGTATATTTTAATTGTCATAAGAGAAATAATAAGAGGGGAATGGAATTTTAAAAATTATAAATATGTAAGAGTAGTAATAACATAACAAAGTTAACCAGGGTACAAGTACAGTAATAGAATAAAGGTCAGATCAGTAAGGATTATACAAATCATAGTGATATAACATCTACCCAGAACAACTCATAAGGTACTCATATATGAATCAGCATATTCTTAGATTGAGTAATTCTTGGCTCAGCGTATGAATCGATACCAGTTTCCAATGAAATGTATAGTGTGCATTTGTCCTCTGGAGATAGGAACTGGTTTGTGAGCTTGTATATTAAAGCTGCAGACCTGCACATATGTACCTGGAAGTAAGTTCCACTGAACTCACTGAATCCTGACACATACCAGATTGTTCTACAAAGCTGTTTTCCATCACATGGTAAAATTTAAGATGTTTTAGTAAGGAATGCACTCAACGTTGACTGAAAACATTGTTAAATAAGCTCATATAGCTTCTAGGAAATGATAAATTTAAGATGATGTTAAAATTTTCAGCTGGGTGACCGAGTGTTTAAATTTACATTTTCATTATTATTTTATCTGTAAACTGTCCTGGATTAATAATTGAAGGGCATAATAAAAATGTTTCAAATAATAGTTGAACAGTTGCTCACAAGTTTCAACTGCCCAATGAATCCATCACATTTATATATTTAAAATATTTCTACACTACCTTTCTCATAAAAACGAATCTGAGACATCATTAAAAACACAATATTAAAAGCTTAAAACAGTAAATTATTTAAATATTTGAAAAGAATTAAATCTTATATTTAAAATGTTAGGTAAAAACAATTACCAAAAGAGATTCAAAAACAACAGAAATACAAACCTTTTAAAAAACTCTCTTAGACAATCAGTCACTAAGGAAAAAACTGCTTGAAGAGAAAGGTCTTAGTCTGCTTGCAGAAAGATAGCAAAGATGGGGCCAGCCTGGCCTCCAGTGGGAACGGGTTCCAGAGACTGGGAGCAGCGACAGAGAAGGCTCTTATCTGTGGGGAGACGGGACTGAGAAAAAGGCCCCCCCTGATGATCTTAACCCTTGGTCAGGCTCATAACAGAAGATGGAATTTTTTGGATAGCTTGAGACATCACATAGGTATTACTGTGCCAGCTTTGTTACGGCCTTTCTGATGCTTAGGTTATAGAGAGTTGCTTAAACAGTGTTAACATGCAAAAGATCCACTAGTTAATTGTCCTTGAATACTCACTTGCACAGGTTGAAGTAGATTTCTACAACAGTGTTCTCCATATCCTTTCCAAATTTCCTCAGGAATTTTAGATGTTTCTTAATGAAAGTCATTGCTGTGGTTTCTTTGCCTAACGTAATTGCAGAGCTGTGTACCAACCCAGCAGTGCATTTTAGTTATTTGTGAAGCAGTTGCTTTTAATCCCTCCACCCTCTGCTGTTTAGAACGTACTGTATTATTCCCAGGGGCTCTGTTACATTATATACATGTTCAGCACTGATCGTTGATTGCAGCAGGATCAGTTGATGGGTCTTGTGTTGTTAGAAGTGATACTCCCATAGGCAGGTACAGGGGTTGTTACCTACTTACAGAATTATATTTACCACTATAGGTGGTGACTTGGCCAAAGAAAGTGAGGGACCATCTCACTGAATGAAGAGCAGAGTAGACAGTTTGGAAGATATTTGATATATGGTCTTCATCGTTTTCATTCAGCTACCAAACAAGAAAAAACAGCCATACACAAAAAAAGTGTTTCCCATCTTTACATCTTTGAGGTTGTGCTTCTCATGCTTACTACTGATTTACTGATAATGCTGTTTTTTGCCACCATATATAATTATTGAAGTGCATAGTTTTCTGTGCTGAAACGAGCAATGAATGAATGACTCTACAGAAGTATCTGTCTTTAATGCACCTCCAGTGGTTTGACTATTGAACTCTACTTTTTCAGAATTGATTGTATGTTCTCTGCACTATTTTCATAAACTTTGTATTGTACATTGTTAAGCTATTTTTGTAGTTGCTATTGTATAGCAGAAACTATTATATTTTGACCCTAAACTTTTAAATTCCTGAATCTTAAAGTATAAAGAATATTTTTGTACAGGTTTTATATAATTTCACAAATTCTAATAAATGCAAATAAACAACAAATATTTCTCTTGATTTAATTACTATCAGAAGATTCTCAACTGTCTGTCAGATATGACAGGAAATAAACAAACTTTTAAAAGTAGTTTTAGGATCTCTCATTATTTATATTTCTGATTCAGTTCAATCTTCCTTATATATATATAGTATTTTTACCCCACCTTTCTCCTCCAAATGACCCAAGCTCTTTCTTTTAAACATTTCAAGATTTTTCTTCAGTTAAGTAATTTGGCCATTATTTCAGCCTTACTTATTTATACATGTACAGTATACTGTCACTAGCATACTTTTTGGGACTGCCTTTGGAAACTGATCAGAAGTGTCGGTGGATCCAAGACACTGCAGCTGAATTACTGACTGGAGTTGATTATAGTGAAAATAAAAATACCTCACTACACTAGCTTTGCTGGCTAGCAGTCCAAGGAACATTCAAAGCTGGTTATGACCTATAAAGCCCACGTGACTTGGGTCCAGGCTATCTGAGGAAACATAACTCCCTGTATAAGCCTGCCAGGATCTTGAGATCTTCAGGGGAGACTCTACAAATGGCACATCCCTCCTTTCAGTCCCACGTCTCTCATAGGGATGTTTGGTGAGGACATGAGAGAAGGCCTTCTTAGCACCTGCTCCCACACTGTAGGACCCCCCTTTTTGAGGTAGGGAGGCTAGCTCCTCACGTGAATTATTGGGTAAAGCAGCTTCCTTCACCTGGGGCAAGAACCAAAGAAACAAAAGCACAACACACATAGCAAGAGCAATGTAGGTTGCCCACAGTACCTACAGAATGCCGGCTTTACCTTATAGTCTGATGTGAAGGGGAGTATAATTCTCTTTTGCTGGTCATGAAATGCAGATACTGTATATCTCTGGAGCATGTCTAAACACGTTCCTCCTCCTCGCAGTTCTCTTTTGCTGGTCATGAAATGCAGATATATCTTTGGAGCATGCCTGAACACGTTCCTCCTCCTCGCAAAGCTCAGCAGCAAGAGCACAAGAAAAGTAAAACCTGTGCTGAATACATCCCATGTCCGGGTGCTATTGGGCCTATTTTGTTGCAGTGAGAATGGAAAAGAAGAAGAGTTTTCCCCATATCCAAGGCATTTTCAGAGGGGTTTTTAGTAAATGTATCTTGGATTGCGAGGGCCTCACTGTAGCTAGGAACAGTATGTCTGCACATGCAGACATTATTATTAGGTACCCAGTTCTTGCTCCCTTCACCTCCCTGCTTAGCTTCCAACAGCTACTGAAATGTAGGAAAATCTGGTCTACAAAAATCATTGCCATCTTGCTATACTTCAGTCTTCCTCTTAGGGAAAGGAGCTAGTTAAAGAGAAAACTGAATGTTCCATAAATGGCACTTAGTATATCCTAGTGGTTCAGGTGTCTATGAATGCAAGCCTTGATTTCTCTCAGTTTGAGAGAGAGCCAGATTTGTGTTCTTTCATTTTCATTGGGACCTAAGGCACTGAATTTGCTGCCGACTTACTAGACACGCAGAGAAGCTTCCTGTATTCTTGCTTTGATGGGCAAAAGCCTGACCTGTCCTCAGATTTGCATGTGGTGTTATAATTCACAAGACATCTTTTTAGTGTGCCATTCGTAACTGTTATACTGAGAATATATCTTTCCATGACTGTTGTTTGCAGTGGTACTAAAGGCCTGATCCAGAATCACACTCTGTGGGCAGCGGGGCGGGGGCAGACCTGTGCCTGCTTACCCAGCAATATGTTCCATTCAGCTCATTTGGATTCTGAGGAGACATGTTTAGGTTTCCAAATGTCTAGCTACAAAGCAAGTTCTTCCAGCAAATGGGTCAACGTGAAATGACCTGAAACATATAGGGGTCGAGGAACTAGACAGTTGGGCCACCTGCCTGCAACATCAGCTATAATGAAAATACAGGCATGCAAAGCACAGCCACTGGTATTAATATATTGTCCAGACTCTCATTAATAATTGGTAGGTTTTTCATTACTTTTCAAACTTAATCATGATCTACTAAGAGTCATAAAGGGTAGTGTTATGTAGGGATTTAGTTTGTCCAGTGGAAGGCTAAAATTAAGGGGAGAACAGGAGCACCCCTGCAACGCTTCCAAGGGCTCTATGCCTTCTTCCCCTTAAGTGTGCTTTCCTCCTTTATCAGTTATTTTCTATTCTGCTCTCTTTTGTTGTTGTTGTTGCCTGCGTATTTCATTTTAATTCAAAACTAGCACCAGTGCTCCTCCTTGCATGATTTAGGCGCCCTCAAATCTCTCGGGCTTCCCGCTGCTTCTTCCTTCTCATCTACCGAGGCATGCCTGTTCTTGGCTCATCCTCCCATGGACCCATCCAGTGACCCAGTCTTCCTCTCAAGCTGTCATGATTCTTTTTCCTCCTCCCGAATTCCCAACAATCACCCTTTCTCTTTTTCTCTTCTCTTTCTTTTCTCTCTCACCTCACTTTTTCCCCTTGCAGGTCTATCCTGGGGCTAATTCAGATTTTCACTCTGCTCACTCGTCTCCCACCAGGCCGCAAGGTGTTTTCTCTTTTTCAACATTTGGAAGAGTTCTGTTGTAGCCATGTCCAGGATGATGGTTTCTACTCACCTGAGGAGGATCAGGGGACTGGAAACCAAGCCCTATGAGGAAATGCTGAAAGAGCTGAAAAGGCGACTGAGGGCCAATATGATAACACTTTTCAAATACAGTACTTGAAAGGCAGTTGTACTGAGGAGAGGCATGATCTATTCTCACTCATCTCAGACTGCAAGACACATGATAAAAGGCCCAAATTACAGGAAGCCGGATTTAGGCTGAATATAGAGAAAAACTTCTTAACTGTTAGAGCGGTATGACATTGGAACCAGTTACCTTGGCAGGTGTTGAGTGCACCCATGTCGGAGGCATTCAAGAGAAAATTGGTCAACCTTGTGTCAGATCTGCTTTGACTTGGATGACAGCATTGAGCAGGGGGTTGGACCCCATGGCCTTGTTCGCTCCTTCCAACTCAATTATTTTACGATACTTTGATTCTATGAATCCCACCATCCCATGTATCACATTTTGCAATGAGAGGAAGTAGAACATTATTAATGTTTTATTCTAGAGATGTTAACACTGAATATGCTTATATTATTAATATTATATTGGGAGGCTTTGGGAATTTCAGCTCCTTAAGAGCATAAGAACATATAAGAAGAGCCCCACTGGATCAGGCCAAGGGCCCATCTAGTCCAGCTCCCTGTATCTCACAGTGGCCCCACCAAATGCCTCTGGCAGCACACGAGACAACTAGATACTTGTCTCCTGATACCGTCCCCTGCAGTTGGTATTTGGAGGTACCTCCCTTTTAAGCCTGGAGATTATACATCTCCACCATGGCTTGTAACCTGCGATGGACTTTTCCTCCAAGAATCTGTCCAATCCCCTTTTAAAGGCATCTAGGTCAGATGCCATCACTACATCCTGTGGCAAGGAGTTCTATAGACTAACAACACTACAGACTAACAACACTCTATCCACTTTATTCATCTTTTACAGAATTTTATAGTGTATTCCCCTTCTTGTGTCAGCAGGTATGTGAGTTCAGCTGGCTGTGACTTGATTTCAGCATTTTGGTAAGGAAAC